ATTGATGGTCTGTTCCACAGTCTGCCCCTGGCCTTGTTTTCACTGATGATATGGAGCTTTTCCATCTTCTCTTTCCACAGATGTAGTCAATTTGATGTCTATGTATTCCATCTGGCAAGGTCCATGTGCAACTCAGGTATCAGAGGGTAAAAACCTTTAGAAGTCAGCTGTGTATGTGTTTGTTTGTGTGTGTGTGAGAGAGAGAGAATGAGAGAGGGAGAGATCGAGAGAGAGAATAGCACATACAAGCTCCTTTGGAGGCAAGCAGTTCTGAATGAGTGTAAATATCCTCTCCAACTGTTGAGAAAATCGCTATGTTTTGTGGCTCATTCCTTAGGTTCCAGTTGGTAGACGATCATTAATTGAGAGTGTGTGTTACAGTGCCTAGGAAAGTGTCGGAGACATGTTCCACATCTCCATAAATGGGAAACACTGTTAGGAATACATTTATTATCACTACTGTGTTAGTTATCCAGTCTTCATAAATCTGAGCAGTGAAATATTCCATTAAAAGTAAGTGTGTGGTGCTGCTACCGAATTGAATGCTCATGTCACATTGGAAACTTTAATTCTCTGCTTTTTTTGGTAATCTTGACACACATATTTTCTGTCTACTTTGTACTGAAGGTCATCTTGAATTGATTCAGTCCCACATGGTTTAAGCATATTGCCTTTGTTAACCTCTATGTTAATAGTATGATTTTTAAATATTTGACAGGTACTTACTCCAGTATTTTATATTCAATGCCAGAAAGTTCAGACTCATAAAATATAAGTAACTTTAGTAATGAGATTGGGCAGTGTTTCGTTCTGCTGTGCATAAGGTCGCTATGGGTCGGTACCGACTCAATGGCACCTAACAACAACAACACATTTTAATTATCCTAGTTATTTTGTATTAATTTTCCTGTAAATGGATCCAGATGTGTATGCAGTACATAGATTCTATGAACAAATTCTTTGAACTTATTTGATAATTTTTTTTTTTTTTTCTGTCTCTGGACCTACTTCCATCTATTTTACAAGTATCAACCCTTTGCTTATCTTAGGAGAGAAAGAGTATACACCAGTTTGGAGTAGCAGATGCTCTAAGAAGAATTATTAAAGTATGAATCTGCACTTGTTTATTTTCAGAAGTTGATCTGAGGTATTTTCCTAGCTGGGAATAAAAGTGAGGAAGTCCAAGAAAATTAGGGATGTTCTTGTTCAGTATGATTTCTCTCTTTCTTGCTTGTATTTTTAGGCTCACCTATGTGAACCATGCAGAAGACCTGGCCTCCAAGCTCCTACAGTGTTCCCCAAAGAACAGGCTCTCAGCACAGGCAGCATTGAGCCATGAGTATTTTAGTGACCTGCCCCCACGGCTATGGGAACTGACCGATAGTGAGTATGACAAATCTGTAACAGTCCATCAAAACAGACACATCACTGTGTGTAGTATACACGGAGAGAGATACACATATTTATGCATAAGTAAGATAATATGTTTGTGTATGCATTATCATATCTGTGTGTGTGTATGTGTGTGGAGAGAGAAAAAGAAGTTGAGGGTGTGGGGAGATGTGTATATTTAGTGGAATCCTGCCATTCAATTGCTAGCTTACCCGACACAGGAAGAAAATGGAAACCTCTTTTTTTTTTTTTTTTTTGCTATCACTGCTCTGCAGTCTGTAGCTGCATGTCTTTGCATTTGATTATGTGTGTGTCCAAAAATTGATCTGAGCAGTTATAAAGAAAAGAAAAATATGATTTACATATTTAGTGCTTTATGCATACAGTACTTTTTAACTGGCTACAGTACACAGAGGAGAAATGATTCCTTTCTGTATGATTCTCAGAGACCATCTTGATTGTAACAATAGCCTTAAAAAGGGCTGCTAGGCAGCGAGCTGAGTAACAGACTTGGCAATTGGCTAATGCACTGAATTGATATGTAAGAACTGAAAGCATGTAATTCATTTTAACTACAAATCTCTTGGTATTCATACAGACAGCTCGTCTCCGAATCTTTTTTTTTTTTTTAATAAAAACACAAAACACATTCCAGGGTGGGTTTTTGTTTTGTTTTTACAAAAGTGTTCGTATTTACACAGCCTTTTTCAATTACATTTTAAATGTTTGCGCAAGAATTTATGGCCAGAAGGATCTCATCTTTCTTAAAAAGTGTGAAATATAATTCTTTTGAAATTGTGCAATACTATTACAATAAGACAATTTTTATTCAATGTTGATATATTCTTTTGAAATACCAATAGAGATATTTCTTCACAGATTGATTTCTGATCGTATTAAAAAATGAGCACATTGCATATATGCGCACATATTTAGGTGATGTTGGTTCACTCTTGGATATACATCACTTACAACATACATCCCTAAAATTGTTTCTTTAGTCTCTAGGATTTTAGGCTTGATTTTCCCCCCTTACACACAGTATTGCATTCTCCTGGACAATTACCCTTTATTTTAGAACTAAATCCCAAGTAACACTCCTTTTGGGTATTCCTACCTTAAATCTTTCTTGAGATCCCAAATTTAATTCCAATTTTTTTTTTTTAATTCTAAAATGACTATAGCTATATAAATCGACTCCTCCTATACTTAGCAGATCCTTTTTGACATTTTATATAAGTGGTATTCAAAAGTGTTAATGGACAAATGAAATGAAAAGATGATGGAATTTCTCCCTAAACTGTTTGCAGCACTACTGCCTAGTCCCTGCTTTCCATGTACGCTGCCTTCTGCAGTGCCTCCTTTATAAACATGGACCCACTCACCATTACAGTCACTGCCCACAGTTACAAGGAAAACAGAATTAAAGCTGAAACCCCTATGGAAAAAATCATGAATTGGCTGTATGTCATTCTATACTGGGAAAGGGGGAAGAGAAAATAAAGGAGATGCAAATCGACTCATTAGTTTATGATTCATCCAACTTAAACACATGATTTGTTTTCCTTTTACTGGCTCTTGATCCCACTCCTTGGTGACATCTCAATCCCATCTGACTTGCTGCCTGAGTCAAGCCAGGGTTTTGATGGTCTATGAATTCCAAATTCTGCAATAGTACTTTTTTGTTAATATGGACTTATTACCCACTTGCCACTTAGTTTATCAGCCAGTGGTTAAATCCAGTTTCTATCAGTGAGTAAATGCCTACACATTATCACTAGGCAGCAGGCTGCCAACGGAGACAGCCTTGTCCCTGTCATTAACAGGCACAATGTATGCAGAACACCAGAGGGGAATTAAAACCACAAAAAATACCTCAGGGTGGTATTTTTAATATGAGAATTTAATTTGTAATTTCACAGATTAAGAATTTTGGCTGCATTAATCCCTTTATCAGCTCACAGCAGGCTATTTGCAGAAGCATAGCCATAAGGCGATATTCATTGGCAGAAACACGTCTTTGCATAACGTTAAACATCAGGAGCAGTGAAACCTTTTGAAGGGGGCAGAATAAAGATGAAAAATCATTTTATTTTTAAAGCAAGATTCTGCTAAATGCCTCTGGTAACAATTTTGAGTTACAGAAATGCCATTCCTGTGTCTAGCAGATAATCATTATGAAGCATAAATCCAGCCAAGAGAAAGGACATTCCCGGTATTAAACACTACAGTCATTTACATTTGAAACAACGTGGCTGTACATGTAAACATGTTTACAAAACAAAGAATTCCCAGACTCTGGAGACTTTGGGAACTAGGTCCTTTAAGTAATTGTCTCATTCTCGTGACTCCATTTTCTAGGTTAATATTCCGCAGATCATATTTAGAAACTCCTAAATTAAACTTTACATTAGTGTTGTTGTTAAGTGCCTTCGAGTCAATTCTGATTCCTAGCAACCCTTTACAGAGTTTCTGAGGAGCAGCTGGTGGATTTGAACTGCTAACCTTTTGGCTCAAATTGACCTTGAAGTGCAGTGCATTATCCTGCAGTGCCATACCAGTGAAGTCTTAATGCTCTGTCACCAGGACACTTCAGTATTCCTGCCTGAGTTGCATCACAGTGCTTAGAAGTGTGACTGCTAATGGAAACATTTGAACCCACCAGCCACACCATAGGAGAATGATGTGGCAGTCTGCTTCTATAAAGATTGACATCCTCGTCAACCCACAGTTCTACTCGATCATTTAAGCTCACTAGGAGTCAGAATAAACTTGATGACAATAAGTTTTTTAGTTTGTTGTTTTTTTGGTATATAAACTATGCAACTTTAAGGAATACTACAATATAATATTCAAGGTCATATTTTCATTCTTGTGGACTTATTTTCATTTTCTTCAGCTTCAGTTTGAATTTGCATATGAGTAATTGATGGTTTGTTCCACAATCTGCCCCTGGCCTTGTATTGACTGATGACATGGAGCTTTTCCATTGTCTCTTTCTGCTAATGTAGTCAATTTGATTTCTGTGTATTCCATCTGGTGAGGTCCATGTGTATAATTGTCTCTTATGCTGTCGAAAGAAAGTATCTGAAATGAGCAAATCATTGATTTTGCAGAATTCTATCATGCATTCTCCAGCGTCATTTCAATCACCAATGCCATATTTTCCAATTACTGATCCTTCCTCATTGCTCCCAACCTTTGCATTCCAATCACCAGTAATGATCAGTACATCTTGATTGCATGTTTGATCTATTTCAGATTGAAGAAGTTGGTAGAATTCTTCTATTTCATTCTCAATGGCTTTAGTGGTTGGTGCGTAAATTTGAATAATAGTGGTATTAACTTCCCTGTAGACGCGTGGATATTTTCCTATCACAGACAGTGTTGTACCTCATGACTGACCTGGATATGTTCTTTTTGATAATGAATGCTACACCATTCTTCTTCAATTTGTCATTCCTGGAATAGTAAAACATGTGATTGTCAGATTCAAAATGGCCAATATGAGTCCATTTCAGCTCACCAGTGCCTAAGATATCTATGTTTATGCATTCCATTTCATTTTTGACAGTTTCTAATTTTTTTAGATTCATACTTCATACATTCCATGTTCCAATTATTAATGGCAAAGTGGCAGCATCAGTGGGCTCAAGCATGGCAAAAATTGTGAGGTTGGCCCAGGATCAGGCAGTGTTTCATTCTGTTGTGCATAGGGTCGCTATGAGTTGGTACCGACTCGACGCACCTAACAACAACAATACAATAAGATATCAAATTGACATGTGTTCTTCCAAAGCAAATAAGAGTCTGGCATAATCATATAACTTGGAATGACTGTGGGACTCGGTGGTATCAATGCTCTAACAACACTGATGTTCTTCTCTTCAGGGTCTGATATGTTAAAAGCAGGCTGAGAAGACTAGAGACCACTTTTAACTTATTTTGATCCCCAATCTTCTCTTTTTAGCTGGTTTTGCTTTTTGCTTTCATAAGTCCCCTTTGGGACTTAAAAAAAAATCCCCAGAACTTATTAGTCTTGTCATCACTCGGGAGCCAAAATTCGTCAGCCAATGGTTCTGTAACATTTCTATTATAGGTGGAACTCTTTCTAAATCTCTGAAAAAGAGGCATATGAGGGTGCTGCTGCTGGCATTTTCCAAGTAGTGGATTTTCACAAGACTCCACACTAAGAGTTTAACGTTAAAACTTTCTAAATGTGACCTGCAGTGTAATTTAGAAGTAATGTATTCATGTGCCATGCAATCAGGGATTATATATGCATTGAGCAAGAACAGTGGTGCAGTTACCTGGGGATCTGGCAGTTAAAGCTTGCTGATGCTGATGATGGTAGCCTGTCATCACTCACCCTGTGTCCTGAACCCCCCCTCAACAGCCTTGCTCCACTTCTTCACAAAGATTTAATTGCAAAGAAGTAAGTTAAGGGCTGATTTAGAAGAAATTCATTACTTTCCCCAAATACACCACAGAGCATTCTCCTGTGTATGCTATCAAGTTACATAAATAATTGAAGCTGAATTACCCTTGTCAAAGTAAATGAACAAAATACACTTCATAGCACAGAGTCCTTGATTTTATTACATTCATTTGCTAATTCACAAAACTCTAATCTGCAGTGAAAAGAAGCCAACAAATTGGTACAGTGTAAAGAGCACAGAAGGAGGCCTGGTGTGGTGCTGTGGGTTAATGTGTCAGACTGCAAAGCCGTTTGAACTGCAAGGTCGGCGGTTCAAGCTCACCAGCTGCTCCTCGGAAACCCTATATAGGGTCACTATGGGTTGAAAGTGACTCGACGGTACTTACCAACAACAACAACAAAGAGCACAGAACTAGGAATCAAGACTGCCTCAGCTCTACTCAGGCCAGGCAACCTGGGACAAGTTCCTTAGTCTCTTTGGGCTTCTGGCTTCTCATTTAGAAGACAGAAGAGATGGGCACAGTTATCCCTCGGGCCCTTTCCAACACTAATATTTTTGTACATATTCTATACTTTCATATTTCTATATACTTCCCTAAAACAGCATAATGCCATTCATGTCAGTCAGTGCCATCACTTTAAAAATAAAACTAAGCACACTCATTTCACATGTATTTGTGTCCTTTTATTCCTAATCTTCCATTCTCTCATAGGTCCTTTACAACTAAGCTTCTGTTCCCAATCCTCCAGAACTGCTGTGGTCAGTTTGTTTCTAGTGACCTGTATGCTTTTCCAAGCACTCATCTTGATCCCTCAGCAGAATTCAACATAAGTGACCACTCCCTCCCCATTTTAACACTTCCTTCCCTTGGTTTCTAGGAAACGAGTCTCTCATGTTTTTTCTCCTGCCTCCCTAGACTCGGCTTTTCAATCTCCTTTGCTCATTTCCGCTCATCTGCCATAGTCTCAGAGAGTGCCTTGGGGCTAAGTCCTCAGATCTTTCCATCTGTGTACATTCCCTAGAGCATAAGCAATCTCATCCAATCTCATGATTTAAATATCACCTATACACTGGTGACAGCCTCCAAATTTATATCTTCAGCCCTCTCTTCCCTGACTCCAGATTTGTGTCTCCAACTGACTCCTCAACATCTCCATTTGGCAGTCTTTAGGCATCCCAGTATTAACAAAACAGAACTCTGATCTTTTTCCACAGAGTGTCCCCTTCTTGTAATCTTTCTCTTGTCAACATTTATACTGCATTCTTCCATTTGATGTAGTATAAAAAATCTTGGAGTTATCCTAGTTTGGCCACACGCCATACCCAATGCTTCCACAGATGTAACTGGTGCTAACTTCAAAATATGTCTAGAATCACATCGCTTCGCACATTCACTGCTATTCCCCTGTCCCTGGTCATTCACCCCCTTCCTCCCCATGTATTTTCCAGTAGCTTCCTACCTGATTAGCCTGCTTCTGTTCTTGCAGCCTTTGAGCCAGCTCTTGCTGCTTCCTCTTGCTATATTTTATACTTGCTCTTCCTCTAAATACATGGATGACTTGCACCATCACTCCTTTAGCACTTTGCTCAAATATATTTTATCTGGAAAGCCTTCACTGACCTGCTTCCATCCCAGCACTTCCAGTGTCTCTCCCCTACTTTTATTTTTCATTATAAAATTTATCATGCTATATATTATTCTTGCTTGTTTGTTTATTGTCTGTCTCCCCAACTGGAATCCAGGAGGACAGGGATTTCTTTGCCTTTAGTTTTGTTTACTGCAGCATTCAGCAGTGCCTAGAACAGGGTGGGCCTCAAGAACTCTTTCTCCAATGAATGACATGTCATAAAGAAAGGTAAAAATATGTTGTTTCTAAATCCAACTTAATAGTTCTAAATCAGAAAAATGTGAGCGCTGAGCTGTGGTTCTGAGGGGAAAGCAGGTTATTCTATCATATATGTTTGTGTTATTGTTGTTAAGTGCCATCAAGTCAGTTCCAACTCATAATGACCCTGTATAGGGTTTCCGAAGCTTTAAGTCATTGTGAGAATAGACAGCCTCTTGTATGAGTGTATAATGATGTATGTGTGTATAGTGTATGTGTATGCGGTTGTGACTATTTGACATTTCAGAGACCAACACATACCATAATGTTTGGTGCATTGAATATCCAGAAACTCATATCAACATCTATTTTTAAAAGAAAGATAATAAATACATCAATAAATCTATAAATGAAAATTTTCTGTCCTGTTCACAGTGTCTTCTATTTTTACCATCCCAAATGTAAGATTGCAACCAGAAACTGGAGACAGCCTGCGGGCCTTTGGGAAAAACAATAGTTATGGCAAAAGTTTATCAAATAGCAAACACTGACAAGCACAAAGTTCTCAAGAGAATGCAGGTAAGAGATCTATTTTACTTGGAAAACAATATTGAGTAGATACTGAATGTTGTTGTTGTTAAATGCCGTCCAGTCAATTGTGATTCATAGTAACCCTGTATGGGGTTTCCGAAGAGCAGCTGGTGAGTTTGAACTGCCCACTTTAAAGTTCACACTGACCTTGCGGCGTTGTGCATATCCTGCAGTGCCACACCAGGACTCCAGATACTGAATAGATCTTTTGAATGAAGTATCTCAGATTTTTTTCTCAGCATGTCTGTTGAGTCTTCCATTTATTATGGCATTCACCATCGATTCTACTGAGGCAGATAGGAATCCGTCATGTCCATATTATCAGGTACTTACCCTATACAGAGTCGCTGGGAGTTGGCACTGACTCCACGGTACACTATCACCACCACTAGATTGTAGCCAATATTGTGTCTTATCTTTCATTTCTATGTAGTAAGTCAAAAGCTAAGCAAATTCTTTTTATTACTAAGGCAGTCTTCACTGAGTTTAGAACAAGATTACTCTTTCCAAGCTACAGACTACTTTGTTTGACCCTCACAGTTTTATTTATTTAATTTTAAATTTATTGCTGGCGTTTAAATATGAGATTTTTACCTAAAATTCTGGATTTCTGGCCCCTTTTTTTTAAATTAGGAACTCTGGTACTACTGCACTCAAAAACTGCTAGAAGTAAGCATGTAACTGGTGGCTCTCTCCTTTGGAGAGAACTTAAGCTCCAGAGTTTAGTTCAGTTGCCCCCTGGGCCACTTCACCCACTTCTGATTCCCGCCTGGCCCCCTAGCAGAGCCCTGATTGTGGTGACGTTTTTCTTTTTGACTTTCCTCCTCTCACCTCTGCCATACTGCAGAGAGGAAGCATAATCTAAGCAGAAACATGGCATGTGGGCATGTCAACTTGCCTATGCAGTGTGCACGCTTCATAGCAATGAGCATTAGACAGTAACATCTCATATAGTCTGTGTCTGTCTGTCTTGGCAGATAAAAATGTCTTGGCCTTTTCGATTCTTATGCCTACATATATCCTTCTCTAACTCTCTGAAACAAATAGAGAAGACTGTAACTATGGGGAAGGTTTTTCACATGCCAGTCCAGAAAAGAAGGAACCTTGATGGCATAATGGGTTAAGCATTAGGCTTCTAATGACAAGGTCAGCTGTTCGAACCCACCATCTGCTCTACATGAGAAAGACGAGGCCGTTGGCTTCCATAAAGATTTACAGCCTCTAGGGTTACTGTGAGTTAGAATCTACTCGACGGCTGTGGGTTTAGTCCTTAAAGAGAAGGGCACGCTCACACCTTATTCTTGTGTGTGTTCAGTAATGAACTGTTGAAGTGAATTGAAGAAGACGTAAAGCGTTGTAGGAGCTCATCTTCCTTTCTGCTGCTCTTAATTTGAACGATGTTAACAGACTAAATTGACACTATGGCAAGAAGAACAAATTATTGAATGATTTGCCAGTATTATGAGATATTTCTGGTCCTCAAGTTTGCACGTGTTTAAGGTGGGAGCTAATTTAGGCCTCTTAAAGAGTATGGTGGTGATTCATGAATGATTAGAAAATAAAAGATCACCAGATCAAAGTGTACAAATGCCATTTGGGAGATACTCTTATTAAGTTGCCAATTTATAGGTAAGAGTCAGGGTCTTTAGGTTATTATTTCTCGCTGTTGGATAAAAAGAATCTAGAAGTGCAATTTTACTGACACACTAGCATTTGTACTCACATTCTGAATTTTAGTTGGTCAAAGTCTGGAGCTGTTTTCCATAAGTTAACTCTTGGATCTGAGAATGGTTTTAATTTATTAGGTTGTCAGTGTCTGCTTTTTAAAGGGTTTAATGTGCATTACCATAATGGGGGCCCTTGGCTTTTTAAATCCCTTAGCCAATTCAGTAGAACAAAACAAAAAGTGGACCTTATTTGTGCTGTTGCTTCATACACACACACACGCACACACACCTACACACATACAAACAAGCCTCAATTTCAATCACAGGCACTCCATCCTTTCTTCTCAGCCCTTTTAAGGTCTCCCTGACCTAAGCCTGGCCAGTTGAAACCACTGGAACATGTTACAGGTCACCTCCTTCTAGTAAAATCAGACCAGGCAATTAGCAACGACAATGTTGTTGTTAATGCTGTAGAGTTGATTCTGACCCATAGCAATCCTGTATAGGGTTTCCAAGGAGCAGCTGGTGAGCTTGAACTACCGACCTTGCAGTTTTGCAGTCTGGCACATTAACCCACAGCGCCACAGACAATAAGGTCCCTAAAATTGCCTGTTGAACAGAAACAAAATTTTTAAAGGGTGCTCAGAACTAACCATGAGTATTTGAAAGCCTTTACAAAAATGTATTTGTTTTCAATTTTTAAAAAGTTAGATTTAAGATTGTGCTATTCTTCTAGACTTGATAACAATACAGATATTTTCTCTGAGTTTTTTTCTTTTATAATTGTGATGGCTGGATTGTGGTTGCTACCCCCAATACAAAAACTTCACCTTGATTATTCAACATAATTATTGAGGAAGCACCTAAATTTTTCCTGTTTGTTAATCTGATTCTAAGAAAAGCTACAGGGAAGCTAGAATCTCTTGAGTTTTTTGACAGTCAGCAGAAAAAAAAAATCATTTTAAATCCTTATTTTTTTGTTTTCTTTTGTTAACAAAATGAAGTCATCATTGAGGTCCAGTAATATAGCCCATCTATAGCCTAGTACATCTTATGCAATGGCATTATTCTACCCATATCTGAATATCAAAAATTGTAAAAATTATATAGTAAAAAGTCTACTTAAATAAGGATAGTCATGGAGAAAACATGTAATTCTCTAGACTTTGATTTTGTTGTTGTTGAATTAATTAGCTACTTTGAGCTGGCTTTAATCTCTTCAGTTTCCCCCTATGTCTCAGTTCTCTGTAAGACAGCTCTTTATATGGGAGGAGGAAAAGGTTGGGGGTTCAAATCAGCTAAGACTGTAAGAGGTGAGCACTTTAACCGCCACTCTTTGGGGAGTTACATAGAGGTAGCTTGTATCACTTCTGTTTTTGAAATGATGGCAGACTGAGCAGACAAGAATATTTCAGGTTCTAATTTTTCTCCCATAACTCAATGCCAAACAGTTTCCACACTTGCATGCTAAGGTCACTTTAATTATTTAGTTAATAATGCTGGATTTGCATAAATAGGCCTTAGTGAAAAGGCTAATGAGATGCATTTTACTTTGCAGCAGAAAGCAATTTTGGTTTCAGAGTCTTGTAACCAAATTAAATGAAAACAAACCCACAAATACATAAGTTTAAAATGGGATCACTGCCACTGGATGATGAAAATGCTCTGCTTCCGACTTTTTGTAATCCTCCTAAGATATCAGTAGAATAGCATTTTTATAGATTGTTTCCAATATTTTCATCAGCTCTGAAGGGTAAGATTGTCATGGATCTGAGAGACTGCCTTAAGTGTGCATATAAGTTTTCCCCAAGGATAAGACCAAAACCTCTATAGAACACCATATCCATTAGTGTATTTGCATAGAGTGATAACAAACACTCCTTTGTTGAGTCTAATTTTCCAGTCATTTTGAACAACGAGAAAGTACAAGGTTGCTCTGTTCTTTTGGTGTGTATGTGGGATAAAAATATACTCTGATCTTTTAGAAATCAACTTTATAATCTTTCTCAAATGGCATGTGTTCATTATGGGGTATCTTTTTTCAGCAAATTTACATATCTTCAGACTTTATGAAATCCGTAATATACAAATAAGAGGGCAAGTTACAAAACATCACTACTGTGATTCGAGTTCATAGATGCACAGGTTTATTCTAAACAACTCATGTTTAAACTTGTCTTCACAACCAGTGGGATAGATGTAGACAAGTTCTCTCGGTAATATGTTTGTCTTATTTTCTTTGGGGTGCCAGATAGCTGTGGAAAATTCTCTCAGTAATATGCTTGTCTTATTCTCATTGGTGTGCCTTCAGTAATTCCAATCAGAACAGTGACTTCTAAGGGGATCTACTGAGTCAGTTAAATTCAAGGCAGAGAGACCAGCCATTTCAGAAGGTTATAGTGATTGTTTTGGGGATTTCAAAGGGGTTATCTTGAGAGATTTTTCTCAAAGAAAGTAGACTGTTCATGGGGCTTATTATGAAGAAGTTTTAAGAAAATGCATCAGTGATAAATAGGCCAGAAAAGTAGTGCCAAGGAATTTTTTTCCATCATGATAATATACCTGCTCATTTATCAAGGGTAGCAAGGACTGCCCTATGAGAATTTCACTGAGAAACCTTACTTCATCCTCCTGCAGCCCCGATCTTGCCCCTTTAGACTTCTTTTTATTGCCCAAACTTAAAGAACATGTCAAAGGAACATAATTTGAGTGCCTGTTGTTGTTGTTAGGTGCCATCGAGTGGGTACTGACTCATAGCAACCCTATGCACAATAGAATGAAACACTGTCCCGTCCTGGATTATGGATCCAATCACATAAGAAGTCTTTAACAACTTCAATCTTTTCTCTGTTTATCATATTTATCATTGGTCCAGTTGTGAGGATTTCTGTTTTCTTTACATTGAGGTACAATCCATACTGAAGGCTGCAGTGTAGTCTCTGATCTACATTAATAGGTGTTTCAAACCATCTTCACTTCCAGCAAGCAAGGTTGTGTCCTTTGCATATTGCAGGTTAATGAGTCTTCCTTCAATACAATCTTAATAAAATCTAGCTTTTCTGATTCTCTACCGAGCATACAGATAGAATGTTGTTGTTTTTGTTACATGCCATCGAGTCCATACTGACTCTTAACAACCCTGTGCACAAAAGAATGAAACACTGCCTGGTCCGGGCCAACCTCACAATTGTTGCCTAGCTTGAGCCCGTTGATGCTGCCGTTTTGCCAATCCATCTCTCTGGGAGTCTTCCTCTTTTTCTCTGACCCTCCACTTTACCAAACATGATATCCTTCTCCAGCGATTGGTCCCTCCTGACAATA